GAGAAAATCACACTGGCGTTTCATTATTTTTTTTACAAAATTGTTTTTTTTAAAGCTTTTTTAGATCAAATAAAAAACGGCATTTACGAGCATGCTATGAATCACAGCCAGTAGAAACACCGTCACCAAAGCATCCGAGAGACGCATCTTGTGGTGACCATTTAGATAGTGATGAAATACGCGTCAGTGAGAGCAGTGAATATTTCTTTGTGGAGGAAGATGACACAGTAGATGAACCAACCAACGTAATTGATGACAACCGATAAGTTTCCGGTGTGTTTTTTTACTCTTAATTTTTCTGTATTTTCAAATGGGATAAAAAAAAACTGTTACGTATCAAATTAAATTTCCAAGTCCAATTCGGTTCATGATAGTTTGAATAAACAAAACCACCAATCATTGTAATGTCAGATTGAAATATACATAAGTCAAATAAACATCATTTCTTATTAGTTGTTTCAAAGTATGCAAGGATACTCTGTAAATATTTCAGCATATTTGAAGCATAGACTTGCATGTAACAGGGTAATTAACAAAAAAAGTTATGCTGCTTAGTTATGTTTTAGAAATCACCCAGCCTAGTCATTTCAGATTGAAATATTCTTAAGCCGAATTGAAACTCAATTCTCATAAATTGTTGTTGCGAAAATAATTGAGATTAATGTGAAATGATTTCAGCTTATTTGGAGCATAGACTTGGATGTATCGGGCATATATAAAATTAGTTAAACTTATTTATTTTATTTAATAAATATGCAAAAACGCGTTTATTTTTCCAATTTGGTACGAAACACACCGTCACCCAAATATGTCTTCTCCTTAGCAGCGGACGAGCTCTTGTTAAACTGATCGATCAGTAATTCAAGCACTCAACACGCTGCGCATGAACTGTGAGAGATTGTAGAGGAATTGGGTGCAATACGCATTTCAGGGTAATATTACCAACGACATTTTTACTCGGGCTATATTAATACCAATTGATCCAAAAAGTTTTCCTAATTATAGATAAGTAGTATATTTTGTAATTCTAGGTGGAAATCCCTTCAATTGGTTTTGAAAAACGCATTATAAACGCTTTAGGACATATTAACTCGTAGCGCGTATTGTCCCACCTTCCTCTACTCTGAATTTCTTTCTCAACATTCTCTTCCTGCTGTGTTCTGAATAGTGTGAAAAATTATTGACTGCTTACGCTGAGTGTGAAAGCACTGCACTATTCAATTCAACAAAAATTGTGTTTTACGGAAAACTGCATATTTGTTTGCAAAATACGCCTAAATATAGGCCGTTTTAAACATAAATTCATTTTTATAATAATAAATCGTTCATTTGAACAAAATCTGATTTCAAATTCGTATTCAGCGACCCATAAATAAGTAATATCGTCGAATGCAGTAACTGCTAACTCTGATTGCATGTTTAGGCACGGTGAAAAGTTGCTATCTCATCATTTCCACAAATTGTACATTCAGAGTGGTGGAATGGATCGTTTGTTAATGAACATGTTTCAAAAGTACTTTTTCAATCTATTTACTGAAATACTAAACAAATTATTTAGGAACAATATTATCGAAAAGGATTGTTGAGAAACAAAAATCGAACGGTGTAGTGATCAATTTCACCTAATAGATTAATTTCCCCTCGTTTTCCGGTAACTGTTCCGGTTCCATTTCTGAATCTCCAATTTGGCTAAACCTGGTTCTTAGTCTTGAAATTGATCGAAGGGAGCACTTGTTGGACATTTTCAAGGTATTTATGAATTTAGTACACGTTTAGCTTGCAGTCGCCCCACTGTGCATGCACTATTCATTTGGCTAAACACTGTAACAATTTTTCATATAGATTCCGTTGGGAAGGCATGTGATATTTTTCGAATAAAACAATGAGTGATTTTTATCTAAAATTCACATAACATTCATATGCTCACATGAATTCCATGTGATAGATCAGATACATTTAATCGAACACATAAGGTTCATTTAATTCTGTGGTGTGATTCCCAATTGTAAGATAACATTGATATGTGAAATTGTTATAGATATTTGCCAATGAAAATGTGGTTAATTTTTTGAGTATATGAATAAATTTCTCTGAATCTGGAGCTACTAGAAATTATTATTCTCAGACTTCATACACTTCGAATAGTATGCAAAACTGTTATTAATTACCCTTAAATGACAAGTTTTTGAGAAAATGGCAAAAATAGGGCACTTCTAGTATACCCTAGACAAAACCAGTGGAAACGATTTCCCGTATGTTTTTTACATAATAACAGGTATAGCATACCTTTTGAAACCAGCGCACACTGGGCCAGAAATGCAATCTAGCGGAGCAAAATTAATAACTCCGAAACGAAGAATTTCCGCCACTTGGTGTCTTAGGCAAAGTTTCTCATCATAATAAGAACCATCTATTGACACAAACAAATAGTTCAAAACTCTTCCGCAAAGATGGCGCATCAATCTTGTATAGTATAGTTTCGCTTTTCTGCTGACGTCCGCAAGTAACCACGAAGCCCGCCAATAGCCCGATAATCGCCCTTTGTGAAATATAAGGTTAATATAGGGCTTCCATACTTTGTTATCAGCCGTATATCCGATTTATATTGGAAAAAGGGCGATTAGCGGGCTTGATGGTTACTTGGGTCATCTTAACGGTAACAGATGGGACTCAAGAAAAAGCTCGAGACGATCCAAACCATTGGAAACTAGGTACAAGAAGCAATAATCTAAAAGCGCGTACCAAAATCACTGGGTGTGATGATCTACGACTATGCTTGCGAGCAAGCGGTGAAGGTCATCATGCCGAATAACTCAGATGAATTGATAGACAGATGGTAGCAGGATTGGGACTGGGTGGATAATAGTATATGCACACATAGCTCAATACTGACTTGGGTGTAAAAAAAGCATACACACTTAGAAAAAATTACCGACTTCGGTAATTCGTTTACCGAATTCTTAGCAGCTGAACGGTCGGTAATGTTTTCGGTGATTGAGAACATTACCGAAAAGTCTGTAAACTGGATCAGCAAAATTAGTTGTCAAATTTACCGAGCGATCGGTTATGTTTACCGAAAAAATAAGCTTGATTTTTAGTCGACTTTACCGGAGGACTGTAATTTTGTAGTCGATATGCAAATCTAAAATTACCGAAAGATCTGTAATTTTTTAAAAAGATTACCGACTCAATTGTAATTTGCATTAATATCGTTTCGAGGAATTTTCTTGGATTTAACAATAAAATAAAATACATTTTCCCTAAGTAGTCGTTATTTTATTTTATTCTTACGGACACGTTTTAAGAAATCGCAAAACTAAAAACTTACATGTAGCGCTGGCGGTCACTGCAAGTCATGCAAACATTTAGCTCCAGTCGTGGTCAATGTTTGTGTTGAAAATTGCTCCACCGATGAACAAAACAAAGTTTTTGTTGGAAGGACTCGGCGCTACATTGAAAACAGAGGAGCATTGGATGAAGATTCCAACGTGAATAGAACTTGCGACCGACAGAAAAAAAAAACAAGCTGCAACATCGGCCATCTGTAACAATAGGTATTTATTTAGATAACGAAAATTCATTACTTACGGAAAGAACTACGATTCGCTCATTGGTGTTGCTGTTGGTCCATAACAGCCTCCATCATTTAAATTTTTATTTTTCACTATCACAGTTTCCACTAACGTTTTCAAAGCCGACCAAAAATCATAATATGGCAGATTTGACGTTTCCCGCTGTGACCGCTGCCGAGCTCGGTAATGGAACGCTTTGTTTACCGAAACTTCAGTAAACTATTTCAGCGAAGTCAGTGATAAAGTTGATTTACAGATCTGCCGGTAAATTGTTTTACCGTTTTCGTTAAATTGAAATAAAATCACCGTAATTCGGTCATTCCATTTACAGTTTTCAAAAAAATACCGAAATATCGGTAATTTTTAGGATTACCGATCTAAGACGGTAATTTTTTTACCGAGCTCAGTGTCTCTGTTTAAGTGTGTAGAGAGGTAAACTTTCACTTTTCACCTGTAGCAATTCCTATCTAGTCACGATTGTTTCTTAAGTACATGCATCGGTGCAAAATGTTATCCCTCTGCCCGGAGTGAGGAAACGTGGAGGATCCCCTGCAACACGTGGTCGACAACTGCCCAAGATTTGAGTCAGTGTGAAGTGAGATGCTTGCTGGAGTGGTTTTCAACATGAAGAATGTTATACAATAAGTGTATAGATACGAGGTCACGTGGAATGGTGTTAACAGAAAAGTAACACAAATATTGTCAGAGCTGTAGCGAAGGTAGAGAGTGGATCAGAGATCAAACAATGACGGCTAGCTGACACAAAGATAGGTGCATGAGCCCCCATCCTACCGAAGTAATAATCTCAAAAGGGTACACCGTGAGGTAAAACTCCACTCCACCAGTCGCTCTATTCTTCCCGAAGCCTGAATAGAAGACTACAGTATAAATGACATACTTACTTGCTTGCCAAAACTGGCAGATCACGGCAATCCATTGTAGGATCTGTCAGATTAAGAAATTTTAAATTTCGATAATTGATGACTGCGTTATTTTAATCACAGATTCAGTATACACAATCATATTAACAACCTAGACGAATTCTTTCCGATGAAATTGTCGTATCGAACTATGTAAGCTTTTAAAATCTCAACCACTTGAACCAACAAAATCATTTTCAAATTGTCACGCATACCTGTGCCACATCATTGCGAATGTGATGCTTCAACCGTCATCGACAGCTTTCATAAGTGCTAGGGGTGGATCCGTAAATGCCACCCTCCCACAATAACCGTGCCGTATAATTTAGATATTTTGCATATTCAACCGAAACACTTTATGAATTTTGAACATTTTTCTCCCAGTCATCTTCTGCAGTTAGAATAAACGGTTCCGGATAGCAGTCAGAGAGATTTTCCGGTTGTCAGCAAAAGTATAGCAGCAGCGCGAGCTATATAAAAGCTAACATGAATAATTCATGATCACATTAGTACCGATTGGAAGGTCTGTCCGTTGGGAGCCAAGTGGTGAAGTGCAAGCTGGTCCGGTGAACCAAAGAACTAAAGAACTCATTTCATTCCCAGACTCGAAGTGCAGAGTCTGGCTGCAGTAAATGTAACTCGTTACGACGGCCAACTGGTGAAACGCAGCTCACAGACAATGACCAAACGAGTGGAACTAATTCTCTTCGGTTGGATCGCGATGGCTATGCTTTTCCATAGCATCGGAGTCGAGGGAGTAATGATTTTTCGTGCAGTGGCGAATGCTTAACCGGGCGTTACCGTACTAAATGGTGGTTTTCGATTCTCTCTTTTTCGGTTCTTTGAAGAAAGCCACAGTGGAGCAGATGATGAAGACGGGCGAGATGATTCGAAATGTTTGCGTTGGGAAAATGAAAATCAGTGAAGATCTGGTGAACGTCTTACGAGAGCCAAGTTTTCCGGACAACAAGGAGCTCAAGTGCTATGTGAACTGTGTGATGGAAATGATGCAAGTGGTGAGTTAAGAAAAGTCCTCTTAAGATGGATGAGCTGCTAGGGTACAGCTTCATACATCAAGCTGATAATTTTAATTTTACTTTTCCAGGAGAATTTTTATTATTTTTAAGCTAAATTCGACACTGAGCATTCATAAGGGCCAATTTCGAAAGCGTAAAAAATGTTTCTTTCGGAAATTTTTCGTAATTCAAAGTCCACACTCTGCGAAATAATCTACCAAAATTCACAAGATTGCCAATTGCCTCTAACTATATGAAATCGGAATGATTTCCATTGATTTGTGTATGAATCATACACACTAATCCAAATTTTATTTGTCCAGTTATTTTTGGATTGCGGAACTGTTTGGCAAAATTTTAAAAATCTGTGAAATATTTAAAAGTTTTAAAATTCATCTCTAATTTGAACATAATAGGTTCTGTCCTATTTTCATTGATTCCTAAGAGTTAACGATCGTTTAAAGTTTAACCAGCAATAAAGTACTGATTCCTTTTTAAAAATCTTAATGTGTAATGATGTTAATTTTTAACGATTCGAGTCATACTAGACCACATGTTTGTCAACGCTTGGGTAAGAGAAGAGGCATTCAAGCAGCGCTCATGGTTCGATATTCATTTATAAGGCAGCTTTATAAAATACATTCCTCAAAATACAAAACTTTCAGTGGTTTATTTCACTGAGTGTATTCATGTAAGCCACCAATTATATCGGATAAGGGAACTCTCCCTCTGCAAAATCATCGTGATGGTTTACCTGGGCATGTTGTGGCTCAGTAGGGAGGGTAGTTGATAATTTTGTGTAGTATAATGGGGAATGTTTTTTAGTGAATTCTCAGTAGTTTTTATTATTTTTCGAAAATTATTGACCATGAATTTAATTTATAGCAAAGCATATCCCCACACACTTAAAAATAACTATTTTTACACGGGACATAATCCATCTTTGACGTAAATTATGGAACGTAAGCAAACATGTCATGTAAAATTAAGTGTTCCCAAACCGAAACACACGCAACTCGACGAAAAGTACGATTGACAGAATTTATTTTCTCGTTTCTTTCAACTGATTCGTATGTCATTTTGGCCGCTTGCATGTGTCGGTCTCAAGGCACGGAAATTTACATGACTTTTTGGTAGTGTGCAGATTTATAATTACTAGAATGTCTGTGATGGTAAATTTGGAACTAATTGCTCACCAATATTTACCCTTAACTTTTTATCAATTTTAAACCCCCACCCTCGTCGTAGTGTATTTTGATATACTTATTACATGGACGATCACAACTGCTGCAGATCCCTCCTCCACCCTAAAACACCATTAAATCAATAAACTACATCTACCTTTGCATTGTACAATTTCCAGATGAAAAAGGGTAAATTAAACTACGAAGCATCACTCAAGCAAATCGATCTTATCATACCGGACGAACTTGCGGCACCATTGCGAAATGCACTGGATATTTGTCGAACCGTTGCCGATGGTATTAAGAACAATTGCGAATCAGCCTACGCGGTAGCACAGTGTCTCTCGAAAAACAATCCCAAATTTATCTTTCCTTAAATAAAAAAAAAAGTCGACTCGTTGTCTGTTTGATTTACTATGTAAGGAAATATATTACAGTAAGTAAGTAATTCACGTGCACACCTACATATGCGAATGCGAGGTAAAATCTGTTAAAATAAGCTCATGTCCTGTACGTACGTAAGACCAATAAACAAAAAAAAAAAAAGACAGAAATAAACATAAGTTCATAATAATGTTTTTATTCAGAACCGATTTATCCTTGGCAGCGAATCCAAACACAAAAAGCAACCATGGATATAAAAAGCTTACCACTACTAGCACGATAAACTCTCTTTATAATATAGCTTGATGGGAGGTGTAGAAGGATAATGATATATTGTTTGTCTGCTTTGCTACAAGATAACGGTTGAGGACATAGCTTGATCGGAATCGAGAAAAGACATTACCAAAAAATTCCCATAAACACACATGTATCATCTTCGGCGTAACTTCCTGAAGCAGCTTTCCAACAATTTGGTCCAGGAAAAAAAAGATTATATCATCATTGCATTCAATTTCTGACATAGTGTTATCGTTTGGCTCGTTGATCGCTTGCCATTTTGCCATTTTGAGATATTTTTGATTCCTTGATCCTAGAACCATTTGTGCTTCAGTTTGTCAGGCTGTCAGATTTAATCTCACAATTACTGGCAACATGACACCACCACTATCCCAGTCAAATTTTGAATTGAACATTTTCCAAAATAACTCCAGTTTCCAAAATAACCTAATGTTTGGTTCCGGGTTTTACATATTTTTAGGGTAGATAGGGCTCCTAAAGTTATGAAAAAAATCCCATGAAACATAGGGTCGGAAATGACTGCTAAGTGAGTTATTCAACATTTTATGTTTTTTTTTTGTATTGCCAACTCTGGTTAGCTATATTTTTTTAATCTTAATGTGGTTTTCTGATTTCAACATACCAAATGAAAGATTAAAGTCTTAGCTACCAATGCTCTTTGAAAAAGAACTCGATTAAAGTTAATTATCATACATTAAAATTGAAAAGTATGTGGAAAGTACCAAAAAAACTGGTGAAATTTCATACATTTTAGTGTTTTTAAGTTGAAAATTTTCATTTCTGTTTATTTAGTTATTCTATAAAATATTTTCCATACAGTTCCCTAGATTTGTGCCTTTGGAAGTAACCTTGTAGGCTTTATGGTTTCTTCGTAATTATTGATTTAAAACTGATGATTAAACATCTCCGCAGTTATGTTTTCCTTCGGCGCAGGAGATGTGCGGTAATCAAAAGTTAAGAATGTAGCTAAACATTTACAATAACATTCTACCAAATTTTCATGTGCGTAGTCCACTGCAACAGACGAACGTACGAACGAATAGGGTGACTATAGCACATTTTATGAAAACGTCACAAGCTTGGCTGTTTTAAATCAATAATTACGAAGAAACCATAAAGCCTACAAGGTTACTACCAAAAGCACAAACCTAGGGAACTGCATGGAAAATGTTTTGTAGAACAACTAAATAAACAGAAATGAAAATTTTCAACTTAAAAACACTAGAATGTTTGAAATTTCACCAGTTTTTTTTTTGGTACTTTCAACATACATTTCAATTTTAATGTATGATAATTAACTTTAATCGAGTTCTTTTTCAAAGAGAGTTGATAGTTAAGACTTTAATCTTTCATTTGGTATGTTGCAATCAGAAAATCACATTAAGATCAAAAAAATGTAGCTAACCAAAGTTGGCAATAAAAAAAAAATATAAAATGTTGAATAACTCACTTAGCAGTCATTTCCGACCCTATGTTTCATGGGAATTTTTTCATAACTTTAGGAGCCCTATCTACCCTGAAAATATGTAAAACCCGGAACCATACACCCTGTATATATCGGCTAATAGCCGTATAACCTTACTCAGTAACTAGGATTTAAAAAAAAAAGACTTTAACATTTACGTGAGCCTCTGAATTACATATTTTTGGAAAGTACAGTGTTTTTATGTTCACACTTAAAAAAATCATGTAAATATAGATGCTCTGAGACTGAAATATATGAGCGAAAATTTTGACATACAGTTAAGCCATAAGTTATCAATCAAACGTACTTTTTTTCACTGTCAGAATTATGGATTTTTCAATGCCTTCTCAGAAACATGAACAGTTGTAGCCCAAATCGTTATTTTTATTTTCTGTTCCACGAAATCTGGGACGTTGAAATGTTTTCTTTGATCCGGAAGTTTTTTTTTTTAAATGTTGATCTGAGAATTATGTTTTCTCCCAAACCAAGTTAAATCATAAAATATATTTGCAGAACAACATTTTGAAAAGTAAGCCGTATTATAAAGTCCGCGATTTGAATTTTCTTTCAATCGAACTAAAATTTTCAAGAATTTAATAAAGTTTCTCATTTAACTGGGAATTTACCTTGAATACTTTTTCCAGATTACTCATTGTAAAGATAGATGGGTTGTAAACTTGTTATGGCTCTTCATATTTTTGATCAAACAACGTCAAGTCCAGGAGCTCTCAAAAAATTCTAAGTTCAATCTTTCTCTTTTCAAAATTGAACCATTTGCTCTAATGAATTTCGGTCCAAAGAATATCGCACCCTTCGTGGTATCTCGAGTCATCTCGAGGTGAAAACCCTCATACGAAAAATGTATGAGTCGATGAGCAAATTGACTTGACGACTTAAAATGAGTGTAAAAATTTTCATCGATGGAGGCGAACCAGCCCAAGGCTGAAAGCCTCCCTAATAAAGTTAAATAATAATAATAATTTTCATCGATTTCGAGGAAAATTTTATGCACTCACTGAGTAACCCCACTTTTTGCTATTTTGAGTTGATTTTGACGCAATTTTGAGATGCTCTCATCGTTCGTGTGGAGAGTGATATCCACCCAAGCAACACACTTAAATAAAACAAGTTACATTCAAGTAACCACAACTACTGAGTGACAAGTGTGTTGCTAGGGCAATTGCTGGGGCAGGGTAGCGTTGTCATGATTGCATCGTAGGATGTGTTGGAGGGTGTTTTTTTATTATCCTAGTAGAAAGACACGATCCGCCCTTAGCTCAGTCAGAAAAGGTGCAGCTACAACGCAAGACCATGCTTTTGGTGGCTGGGTTCGATTCTCGATCCGGTCTAGGAATTTTTCGGGTTGGAAAACTTCTTGACTTCCCTGGGCTTAGAGTATGATTGTGCTTTCCATACAATTATACTAATGCAAGAATTGTACAGGAATCGAAATTTATTAATTAATAACTGTGGAAATGCATCTAGAACACTAAGTAGAGAGCACTCAATAAGCCAATAGGCGATCAGCAATAAGCTTGAATTGCAAAAAAGAAAAAGATGGAAGACATAGATGCACAACCGTAATTAATGTCTTAGTTTGTTGTTTTTGTCTAGAAAATTACAGTATTTGAATTGTTTTTACCACTTAGCAATCCTTTTTTCCCAGATTTTTTTTAATGAAATATACGCAATACAAAATCCAGCAGATTTAGAGTTGTCAATAACAGCTGGTTAATACGTAGGGTAAATGTAAACATTGCCGAAGAAAAATAGGCTGCTGACAATAGTCACACTCACCTGAGAAGTTTTGAGCGTTATAAAAACGCTTTCAAAATGTTTTGGACATTTCTGTCGATTGGAATGAATAGAAAAGCATGCACAAAATAAATGTAAACCAAAAGGCAATACAACTTTGAAATATTTGAAATTATCATCAAAAAATTCAAAATATCAACGAAAATACTTAAACTTTTTCAAAAACTAATCCAAGTAAAAGCTAGAGATTTTCATAAAGAAACAAAAAAGTATTGCTAATTTCCATTTAATTTCACTACCTTGACAGACAAGCGTATTTCGTCTACAATGAGCAAACTTCTTGTACTGAAACTTGACGACGAGCCTTGCATGTTGAACATCATTGGTTCTCCGGATTCTTTTATTTTTAGGTCTAAGTCTATAAAATGAAAATATTATAACATATTGTGATTTATTCAGCCATGGTGCCTTACTCCCTGATGTAAGCTCACTTCCGGAGCCTCTAAGAGACGAACCAGCCTATGACTGAAAGGTTCACTAATAAAAAAAGGATTTAAACAATATCCACTACTTTTAAACAACACGAGCGTCCTGGTGTCATGAAAGGCATTTGATGTATTGTAAAAGGTTAAGATTGATTAATTGAAGATAGCATTTTTGATAGCTTTACAAATTACATCATAACATAAGTTTAATTTATTTAATTGTACATTTTTTACGTAGTAATAAGTCTTTGTTTTCAATATGGTTAGGTTTTGAACTTTTATAACTCAGCCATTTATTTCTGTACTTCCGAGATTTTTATCCCAAACAATCAGAAATATTTATTGATTTTTTTAAACAATATATCATTGAAAATTTAAAAATGTCAAACATAGCTATAATCAATCAACCTTCCAATTACGAACATCATTATCTGGTTATGGGAGGGTTAGTAGGGAGAGCAAACATGATCCACAAGTGTATAGCTGTAGTTATCTTTGTTCATCACATTCCATTTGTATATCTGTTTCGATCAGTTGATAAGAGATTAGAGATATGGGCTATTGAGAGTCTCTCATCAGCCAGCTGAATGTAGGTAGAAGAATAAAATCAGTTATCATCATACCGCCGGGGAATAAACTCGTCCTTGTCCGCAATAAATCAGTTTTTTGTGAAGCTAAGTGTTTTATGTTTAGTGTAATCCAAGAACATATTTGGTAAAGTGTGTCCAAAATCGATCCAGTCCCCGTGCGCACGAAAACACTTTCATAGAAAAAGTTGATACCAATCGAAACAAGCCGAAGTCGCATTTCCATTCGAACATTGGACGTGTTCGCAGCGTGAATAATGTACCATCTCAACACACATATCTCACCAACGTAATAGCTTCCAAGAAACAGATCACACACAAATTGACCGGAGGAAAGGCTCCCCGCAATAAACTTTGCAACCAAGGCTTCCGTAAGAGTGCTCCAGCCACCTGAAAGCAGAAAATTGTTATGGAAGATTTTATTTTAATTTTCTTAACATCGGCAACAACACACCAGGCCATCATTAGCAGACTTCCCACCACTTTACCGAGTTGGTCAGTGCTCGGAGTGACGCCAGAATGCGGGGAGGAG